TGGCTCACTTGGCTCAGTCACTGAAGAGACTGGTCCACTAGGCACTTCTTCTGTGAAGACCTTCATCGCTTCGGGTCCGCCTCTTAAGAGGCAGAAGCTGCTGCATTTGCACCGCTGCTGCAGGGAAATTCCCTGCGACACTAGACACAGGTAAATAAAGAAATTGCAGGGGGAGGGGTCTTCTGCCAGTCAAGAGTTTACATAATGCAACAGAAAACCGGCGAGTTCTGCAGACCTGTCAAGGAAGAGGCAAGGCTGGAGCTCCTCTCTCCACCATCTCTAAACACTCTCCAACAGTCGGCTCTTCACCCCCCGAAGACGCACGGAAGTTACATCTAAGAACGAGCAACAATCTGCACACGCTCACCCCATGCCTTCCTGCCACCTAATCACTGAAATACGAATTTAGAGAAAAAGCAAGGAAATAAGTAGAAAACCCTAACCTCCCGCTTCTGAGTCCAAAGTACGGAGTAACCAAACGGAGCCGGGGAGTTTTCCCTTCTCAGAAGGGGGGAGAACAAGGCGCTGCCTGAAATCTCCACTGCGCGCACTGATGCAGTGACAAGCCCTGAAAACTCCGGAGCGGCCCAGGCAGCCCGATCGCCGCTTGGCCCGGCTCGGACCCCGCGGCCCGGCAGCCGCCTTCTACCCCGGCCTCTCACAAAGGAGAATGGTTCAGTCCAGAGCATCACCCAGCACCTGATCCCTCACAACCGGGGACGGGCAGGGGACGGACGAGAGAGGAGGAAGACGAGTTATAAATCAATTCTCTAAGAGCCCTGGATTTTTGCAAAGCCTCCGCGACCAGCACTGCGCAGCGGGTGCGAGCGGGAAGCCTACCTGAACAAGTCCCGGCGCTTCCTCTCCAGTCAGCGTTTCAACTCACCCTCTCCGAGAACAAGGCGCCTTCCGGCGGAGCATGGCCAGCCCTCGCCTCAATCTAGCTTGCTAGTAGTCCATTCTCCCTAAGCTCCGCCCCTTACGCGCCAACCAACCAATGACAGGGTGGAAGCCCGGTCTCTTCCAGCAAGGTAGGTGAGCGCCATCCAGGAAGTCTCTTGTGGGTGGAAGGTCCTAAAAGGCGGAGCAGGGTACGTAGGCAGCCACAGATATGCCTGATTGAAAAGAAAATCTGGCGGCAGCTCACCGCTGACGGCTCCGTTCACAGGCGGCCAGGCCCCTCGGCATGTTTTTTTGACCCCCACCGTTGGGGGCGCGCTGAACTAAAACAACACTTAGTTACCTGTTTCTGGGAAGCCATCTTGGATCGGGCTGGTGCCGCGGGGGCGGGGATGGGGCGGGGATGGGGGCGGGGGCGGGGGCGGAGTTGGGGTTGGAGTCGGGATGGGGGTCCGGGGCGGGGACGGGGGAGCTTCGAGAACGTGAAGTCTTTTTCGGCATTCTCTCCGACTTTTTAGGTCCAGCCCGAACATACTTTCTTAGGTATAGTCAGGATGTCCCTCAGCCACGATGAGAAACTCTGCAGTGATGCCGTATGTGGTTAGAGGCAACCACCAACCACCCGCTCATGTTAATTGTAGGAGCCAGGCGATTTTAACAAATCTAAGAAACAAAAGTTATCCAAATAAGAGGGACTGTTACACATTCCTAGGGTCTTTATGGACATCTGACTCAGAATACCAGGACATGACCGGCTGGGTGTGGTGACTCACGCCTGTAATCCCAGTACTTTGGGAGGCCAAGGCGGGAGGATTGCTCGAGCCCAGGGATTTGAGAGCAACGTAGGCAGCATGGCGAGACCTCCTCTCTACAAAAAAAAAAAAAAAAATCAAAAATTTAGGTGGGCGTGGTGGTGCGTGCCTGTAGTCCCACCTAAGGTGACTGGGAAAAGAGGATTGCTTGGGTGGCTGAGGCAGGAGGATTGCTTGAGCCCAGGGGTTGGAGGCTGTGGTGAATCATGATTGCGCCATTGCACTCCAGCCTGGGCGACAGAGTGAGACCCTGACTCAAAAAAAAAAAAAGGAAGCCGGGCTGGGTGGCTCTGCCTGTAATCCCGCGCCTTTGGGAGGCTGAGGTGAGTGGATTGCCTGAGCCCACAGGTTCGAGACCCGCCTGGGCAGGTGAGACCTCATCTCTACAGTAAAATCAAAAAATTAGCCGGGCGTGGTGGCGCGTGCCTGTAATTCTGGCTACTCAGAAGGCCGAGGCGGAAGGATCGCCGGAGCCCAGCAGGTCGAGGCTGCGGTGGCCGGGAGCGGCCCCTGCACTCCAGTCTGGGCAACAGAGTGAGACTCCAACTCAAAAAAATAAAATAAAATAAGGAAAGAAAAAGGAAAAAAATATATCATAAATTAAATTATGTGTCTATTTTAGATGCTTCTAATCGTTACACTTCACTTGCAAATTTTCCAGTGTCCTGACTTTTGCAGTTCAGAGGACCGTAAATCAGTTGGCAATAAGCAACAGACCTAGGGCAGAACTCAGGTTTTTTTTTTTTTTAAGGCCTAAATTTCATCAATAGAATCAAACTTTTGAATACATACTGCAAATACAGAGGCCTTAGAAGAGTTAATGTAAGGAAAAGAAAGGCCATTAGGGGGCAGCCGTGGAAATTGCCTGGGGAGAGTGATTTTTTTAATCACTGCATTTAAATTGTAAATAGTTTCATGGTAAGTGAAATTCTCTTGCTCTCAATGAGAAAGTTTTCCCTGTTTTTCCTAGTCTAAATCTCTATTGCTAGCCAGTTATGGTAGCTCACGACTGTAATCCCAGCACTTTGGGAGGCTGAGGCGAGAAGATTGCATGAGTCTAGGGGTTCGAGACTAGCCTGGGCAACTTGGCGAGACCTCGTCTCTACAATAAATCAAAAAGTTAACCAGGTATGGTGGCGCATGCCTGTGGTTCTAGCTCCTTGGAAGACTGAGAGGGAAGGATCACCTGAGCCCATCAGGTCGAGACTGCCATGACTGTGAGCGTGTCACTGCACTCCAGCCTGGGTGACAGAGTGAGATTCCAGCTCAAAAAAGTAACAATAAATCTCTATAGCTATTACAATTTAGTACTATAAATCATTTTTTTTTTTTGAAACTTACGAGTGAAGGGCTCCTTCCAGATCATTAAAAGAATTTCTCAAGGAGTAACATAATTACATGGTCTTACATGGTAGGAGCTCAGACATTAAGGAGTCATGAATCAATATTTCATCAGAGAGTTGGTAAGACTTGTCCAAATATATTTCTCTGTATACTGAACAAAATCAATTAACTAAATTCTCCCTTGGCTACTGCATTATATCAAATTCGAAGTTAGTATTAGGATTTACCAGAGCAATGTGTTTGTCCATAAAAGCATATATAGATATAATATATAACCTTATTGTTTCTAGAATGAAAGCCTATTATCCTTCTGAGACAGAAAAGACATGTCATCATAGGAACTAGTTATAGGCATTATTATGGAAAGGGGAAAATGTGTGCCTGATCCAATTTCTGCTACCTACACTGATTATTAGTATAATTTCCAATGATCTTGGCCTTCAAAAACCAATAGACACCTAGATTATCTCACAACTACCATTCTTCACATGGGATGGGGATCCACTTTCTATATTTCCTCGTGACTGCTTCCCTCAGAGCATAAATCATGAATTTGCTCATAAACAAAATCTTGTTTCTCATGCTTCCCTTACAATTGATGAAATACCCAAGTACAGAAGGTTATAAATTGGATTGGAAAGTAGAACTCGATATGGGAGTAAAGATTAAAACAATGTAACCCAGCCAGGCACAGTTGCTCATGCCTGTAATACCAGCACTTTGGGAGGCCAAGGTGGAAGGATCGCTGGAAGCCACGACTTCAAGACTAGCCTGGGCAAACATAGTGAGACTCCCATCTCTAAAAAAACTTAAAAAAAAAATTAGCTGGGCACAGTGGCATATACCTGTAGCCTTAAATTTTAGAGAGGCTAAGGTGGGAGGATCCTCCCTTGAGCCCAGGAGTTCAAGGCTGTAGTGAGCTATGATCATGTTACTGCATTCCACCCTGCACAATAGTCAGATCAAGACCCTATCTCTAAAAAACAAAAACAACCACCAAAAAACTATGCTCCAAAATATCAAAATGGTATCCTTTAAAGACTCTGAAAGCAGCAACTCTGGGCAGAATGCTATCTTTGACCAATGCTCTAATGCTTCCCAACTGCTAAAGATTTTTTTGGATGGTAAAAAAAAAAAAAAGTCTATATAGAAATGACAGTTATAATTACTTTAGTCTTGTCCCAGGGGTAAGGGAGTTGGATAACTAAATTCAACAGCCTCTAATCCTTTTTGCAATGAGGTAGGATTGATGGGATGGATTGATTGAGTCAGAGTCTCACTCTTTCGTCCAGGTTGGAGTGCAGTTGCACACTCCCGGCTACCGTAGTCTCAACCTGCTGGCCTCAGGTGATCCTTCAGCCTCAGTCTTCCAAGTAGCAGGAACTACACATGTGCACTACCATGCCCAGCTAATTTTTCTTGATTTATTATAGAGATAAGTACTCACCAAGTTGCCCAGGCTGGTGTGGAACCTGTGGGCTCAGGCAGTCCTCTCACTTAGGCCTTCCAAAGTGCTGGGATTATAGGCATGAACCACCATACCTGGCAGAGGTAGGATTTAAAAAAAAAAACAAAAAGCCGGGCATGGTGGTATGTGCCTGTAGTTCCAGCTACTTGGAAGGCTGAGGCAGAAGGATCGCCTGAGCCCAGCAGGTCGAGGCTGCAGTAGCCGTGAGCATGCCACTGCACTCCAGCCTGGGCAACAGAGTAAGACTCCTACTCAAGGGGAAAAAAAAGGCATAACCAAAACTATATCCCTACCCCAAATGTCTTCCAATTCCTTGTGGTGCAGTGTTCACTATTACCACTACTACTGGGGTCAGAGTTCAGTATAAAACAATCCCCAAAAGGAGGCTTCTTCCATATCTTTGAAACAATCCCCTTGAAGGAGAGTATCTACGAATGTTTGGGATACGCAGAAATGAATCACAGAGTATGAACAGCTTGGATACATGCATATATTTAATATTGAAACAATTTATCAACAACAACAAAAAATTAGAAAAGTGTATGAGACTTCAGTACGATGGAAGAGAATGGGACATCAGGAAAAAAGATATAGCAACTGACCCAGAAAGCTGCATGATGTGTGAAGCAAAGGCAAATTTGGTTAGGACAGTATTATATGCTCTGAAATGGCTGGAGAAGTACCCACTTGTTTGACTGCCTGGTAGCAGGCAGCCTTACTGTATGCCGCATAGAATGAAAGCAAAGAGCCAGGGAAAGGTAGGCAAGGAGGGAAAAGAGCAATATAGAACCCAGGTTCAATAGATGGAAGAGACAGAACTACAAAGAAATGACTCAAAGTCTAAAAGAAACCTTTTAAGTTTGTAAGTATGTCAGTCAAATTCAAAGATCACACAAGTAGCACTAGGCACTGTGAAAGAATGGTAGGGAGGAGTGGTTTATAAAAATAAAGGAATGACATGGATCGTGCTTTCAAGACTTACAACCTATATGGGGGGGATAGATTCCGCACATACAACAACTACAAGACATATTAACAAAGTAACATACATACAAGTAAATATACAGATAAATATATATATGAATAACTAACATATGAAAGTTAAGGGGTACTATGTCAATAACTGCTTAGAAATCTCTAGGTCAGTTTCTGAAGGCTTCCAAAAGAAAAAGTTTTTGGACTTTTAAGTATAATGTTAGTGGAGAGTAGGGCATGTGCACAGGTATGAAAGTAGGAATAAATATGCCATGTTCAATAAGCAGATTACCTTAATTAGAATACAAAGTTTAACCAGGTCTGGTTAAGGAGTATGATGAAAACAGTAGAAGTCTATCTGGTGAAAGACACTACAATGTTAGATCTGGTCCCTAAAACAAAATGAACAGGGAACAAATGTTCTCTTTAGGAAATGAGAAGTGGTCACAGGTCCAGGATCAACTCCCCTACTCTCAAAAGTTTTGTGGTTATTCTAAGAGACTGAAACTAACAATAGGATAGTAGAGAAGTACTTAGCTCCTTGAGCAAACAGAAGGAACTGCCTTCTGCAAGGATTCTTACAAAGTGCAAAGTAGACCCCCAAAGGCAAGGAAGAAAAAAACTCAATAAAATTCCTAGACAGAGATCTATCACCCAAAGGCCAGCCAGATCCTGGCAGTCACACTTGTCCAAGCAGAATGTCCTTGACCCTAATTCTTGGTGGGGAGATTGTATATGCTTATGCAATTATTTATTTATTTTTAAGCTACTATGACAATCAACTTTGATCCTAACATTTTAGAAATTAAAATAGGATGAAAAGAGCCCTAATCTATAGGGAATGCTCACGTCCCTGAAAAAGGACAGGTCAGTAAGGGCTCAAATTTTCCCCTGGTCTTTAAGCAGAAAGGCAAAACATCACATCTCGAAAAGAGGTTGCTCTCAGCCAAAGCAAGTAAGACCTCTTTCATTAAGCCTATTGATCTGAAGCTGTTCCAGGAAGGAAAAAGAGTTCAGGCCAGATATTCAGCAGCAGCCAGAGTTGGACCCTATGTCACGAGTGTTCCGTTGGCAGGCGTTGGGTCCCACTGATGTTGAAATTGACTGTTGGGGCCCAATCTTGATACCATTTGCCTGTAAAAGAAAAAAGGCAACAGTTCCCACCTCAGTGTTAAAGTGAATGTGAGAAAGGAGGGGATAAGCAGGTTATGGTGGCACATGCCTGTAGTCCTAGCTATTTGGGAGGCTGAGGCGGATCTCCTGAGCCCAGGAGGTCCAGGCTGCAGTGAGCCGATATCATGCCACTGCACTCCAGCCTGGGTGACAGAGTGAGACCCTGACTTGAAAACAAAACAAAAGGATGGGGAGAAAGAAGCAATCATTAATTACATCTTCTAAAAGTAGGTTTAAAAAATAAATAAATAAAAGTAGGTTTAATCTTGGCAAGTTAACCATGTGCCATAATTAGACTGTTGTGGAATACTAAGCTATGACAGTAATAAGATTACTACCTGTGGTGTAAGTATCATATCTGACTAAAAGTAGCTTTTGTGCTTTAAAAAAGAGAGAGAGTGAGAGAGAGACAGACAGACAGACTGACAGACAGACAAGGTCTCCCTATGTTGCCTGGAGTACGTAGCTATTCACATTACTTATTCCTGGCCTCAAGTGATCATCCTGCTTCAGTGACCCTCCCTTCTCAACTTCCCAAGTAGCTGGGACTACAGACCCACCACTGCACTCCTATGCTCATTTTTAAGGGGTACTTAAATGTCATAGCTATGTGCAGAGTAGGGTGTGATTAGGTATGAGTGGAGAACATAAAATATAAGCAGCATATTAGCATATGATTATTTCTGTTTTGTGCCAGAATCTGCTCAATAGAAATGTCTCTTCTGAACAATTAAGAATTACACTTCCCAGCCGGGCTTGGTGGCTCAGCCTGTAATCCCGTGCCTTTGGGAGGCTGAGGTGAGTGGATTGCCTGAGCCCGCGGGTTCATGACCCGCCTGGGCAGCAAGACCTCATCTCCACAATAAATCAAAAAATCAGCGGGGCATGGTAACGCATGCCTGTAATTTCGGTTACTTGGAAGGCTGAGCGGAAGGATTGCCGGAGCCCAGCACGTCGAGGCTGCTGTGGCCAGGAACAGCCACTGCACTCCAGTCTGGGCGACAGAGTGAGACTCCAACTCAAAAAAAAAAAAGAATTACACT